AGAAGCAGGCCGCTGATCCCTGGCCAAGTGGCGATGTTRAGCATGTCGTCGACGATGATACACAATAAGAGGAGTGGCGATGTTTCTAACAGAAGATGTCACTGGCAATGAAGGCGGAACAATGGGAAGAATAGAAACCGGAGAATCGGTTCTCAAACGAGACCGTGGAGGAGATGGGGGTGGCGAGGAGGAACGCAGCTGTCTGCGGCCAAGCACAGAAAGGGATGAAAGGGGGGTGGATTCGGCAAGATGTCGGAACATAGGACGCGAGTGTCGGGCTGGGGTAGAGAAAGCTATACCAGTAAAAACTATCGCATGAGAAATTCGAGGTATAGAAGCAGAGGAAGTGGTAAAAAGTGGAACCGCAGCAGAGACAACTGTTGTAGTAGGAGCCACAGCAGAGGCAACTTCCATAGCAGGGACCGCAGCAGAGGCAACTTCCGTAGCAGAAACTGCTGGAGTGAAACCCGGAGTTGAAACAGCAGCAGTAGAAACTGCAGCAGTGGAGACCACAGCGGCAGCAACAGTAGAAACTGCAGCAGTGGAGACCACAGCGGTGGAAGCGGCGGCGGTGGGAACCGCAACAGTGGGAACTGCATTAGCAGCAGATGAACAAGCAGTGCCAGGACGCCAACTTCCGTAGCAGAAACTGCTGGAGTGAAACCCGGAGTTGAACCAGCAGCAGTAGAAACTGCAGCAGTGGAGACCACAGCAGTGGAAGCGGCGGCGGTGGGAACCGCAACAGTGGGAACTGCATTAGCAGCAGATGAACAAGCAGTGACAGGACAAGCGCGATGTGGGGATAAAGAAGAAAGTCGGTGATGCAAGGACCATGGCAGAATGCGTCGGAACCACTGAGAGAGACGGGTGACGTGTGTAGGATAGCGACGCTGGCGGGAGCGTGTGTAGCAGGTCCATCCTTTAGCGAGGATTGGTGGGGAATGGCCACGAGAAAACATGCGACGAGTGAGTGTTGTCGCTGCAGTTCGGAAGTCCTGCCAATTATTGCAGATGCGTTCAAATCTGGTCAATTGCCCAGTGAACACACCTGCCGGTTGATGGGAAGGGATGTTGGAGGTAGCACTTGGATAGCGAATAACAGGGAAATCCCAAGCAGCCGCTTTATCAAACACGCTCATGCGAAGCGAACCATCAGAACGTACTCGTAGATGCATACCTAAAAAGGTACACGAGCCATCTGTAGCCGTAGTTTCCTTCCACTCGAGCCCATAGTGCTCTGAAGGAGGAGGTAATTGCCCCCATGAAAGAACATCATCAATGAGGCGGTAAGTGAAGGCGTATCGCTGAGCAGCTTGGGGATCATGTTAACGAATCTCATCAATAAAGCGTGCTTCATCCCAATAGAGCGTTAGATTGGAGATTTTTGGGCCAGCATTTGTTCCCATTGGAATACCAATGATTTGCTTTCGAAGAGTGCCATCTCTAGTGTACAGAAAAGTGTTTTCTACAACAAAGCGAAGATGTTGGAGAATCTGAGAAACGGAAAGGCTGTCTGGTCCTGAATCGGTTGTTCATTGGCCAGAGCAAGGCCTGCGAATAAACATGTTCAAGGCTCTGCAGCGCGAATGCATGCGGGTATGATGAAGAGCATAAGCATGAGCTTCATCAACAGCCTTTGCCACATTATTCAAAATGCGGTCATGAAGAAGGTTGGTGTACATTGTGGTGAAATCAACYGTGCGAGGAGAGAGGCCACGTAGAGAGGACACATTGTTTTTCAGGTCAATCGCCACCTCATCGG